AAAAAATCCCAATTTGTTCATGCTGAAAGAAAACTTACTTAATATTTTTGATGTGTCCAGCACAATCACGATAAGGGTTATAACCCACCTCCCTCCCCTGAAGAAACCAACCAGTGCATCTTGAGAGCACAGTTTGAAAAGCATGCAATAAATATGGCCTGGAGCCACCCACACTAAACAACCCGCACTAAACAACTGCTTATTAAGCAAACAGGGTTCACTCTGGGCACCATGTAAGGTAGGGCAACCAATAGAAAACACAGCTTATGATCATGCAACCAAAGATTGTTTTAATGAATGCACAAGGCAACTAAAAACCTTAATTCTGGCTGTGTTAATGTGTGATTACGTGGACTTTGCAACCTTAATCACATTATTTTCAGTTAGGGAGGCATTTTTGCAATCTTATTTATTAAATGGCCAGGGCCAGAAGGGAGTGGCAAGTAAATTTGGGGTAGAAGGCCTATGAAATAGTGTCCTGTTCAGGTCCAGTTGTGCAGAATGGACTGGTATAGTATGGTATACCTCTATGAACAGTGCAGTGATGGGTCCACATCCAGCACATGGGACCAAGCCACTTGGCCTAGAAACCAGAACCTCAGGACATAGGATGCAAACTCAAATGAGCAGCTGGTGAGCTTGCTAGTGCCAGCAGGTGTGGTAGGACTTGGAAGTTTAATATCCCTCTTTTCATTGCACACAGACCAGGCTCTCTTCACCTATGTAGAAAGGGGTCAGGCAGCAGTTTGTTGGGTTTTTTATTAAGCTAATTTGTAATACATGGATAAAAGGAACTGGGTGCTCAGGGCTTGTGTGCTCTACATAGAGTTCTCAGCGTGGTCCAATTCAGTGGGGACCAACCTTTTTGGCAGATGTGCCACAAATTAGCCCCACACCCTCCCCAAGTGCCCCTTGGCTTGTCTTCCTCTGCTGCTCTGCCTTCTGCTCCCAGTCCTCTGCCCCCTGCCTTATCTGCTGCTCTGCTTTCTGTTTCCTTCCCTATGCTCCCTCTTTGATTTGCTGCTTTGCTCTCCGCTCCCTGCCCTATCTGCTGCTGCGCCCGATCTGCCTCATGCCACACTCAGAGGCTACCCGTGCCACTTCTGGCACCTGTGCTGCAGGTTGACCACCCCAGGGCCAGTCCACTCAGCTCTTCTCAAACTCATAAGTACATCCATCAAGAAATATTTGGGAGCTGCTGCCACTGCTATCAGACTGAGATAAACAAGATACATTTTTGGAAGCTTATTAGGACACTGCAAAATGTTACCATGTACCTGATATAGTCCAGAACTATCAGAGAAAAGCCTTTAAATTAAATGCCTTTGTTCATAGGCGTTTGAACGGGATTTTCTAAGCTTTTAGAAGAACACTGAAAATTGCCTAGTGAAGTTCTTAAAACAACCCATCTAGAAACGGTCTTCTGAGAGGTGCTGCTGCTTCGTGGCTTGCATACGATACTCGAGAACTGTTGAGTACAGGCAGGATTCTTCAACAAGTTGTGCCCTGAAAGAACAGGCAGCTCCTCAACATGTGTAAGCCTGCAAACGTTTCTGAGACGACCTCTGCAGCTACGTTGAGGATTATTCAAAACCAGACAGATGGTTAAAGCAACTGACAGAGGATTACCTTCCCCACATGCACACAAGTGGGGAAGCAGGATCTATAGAAGCCAAAGAATAATACCTGCAAGTGACTAAACCAGTTTTTTGCTCAAGACTGTATTCTTTTGGTACAAGTAACAAGCTTGCCAGGTGATGATGGCTTTGCCCCAGGTTTTTTAGTTCTATGATCAAGTCACTTTCATTCATGCAGACAAAGACTAAAATTTTCCCCTTGTTTTTTGGTGCTCCACCTTTTGAATCTAAAATCTGTCAAACCCCAAGGATAGTATCCTGTTGGCTGCCTCAGTCTAGCCTGGACAAAAAATGAGAGCAGAATTTCCTTGGAGCCTCAAGCTTTTCTTTCCTCCATAGCAAGTGAAATTTAAGCTACTGCTTGTACAGTTCTCTAGTATGATTTGATGGCCTACAAAGGACCCCTCCATCAGTATCCCATTTTGTGCTTTATCATACAGAACATTGTTCATAAGCTTCATAAATCTTTCAAGTTATTATACAAAAGCACTGCAAAACATATTCCTTTTATATTTCTTGACACACTGCATCTGTTGTATGGTTAAGTGCTCTTAGTATGTTAAAGGATCAGTCTTGGGAGAGAGTGTAAAGCTCTGTCTACAGAGAAAAGTTACCATGAAGTGAGTGATGTGCAAATTCACTTTGCTGTAAAGCACAAGGTAATTAACTCCACTTGTTGTACGCAAAGAGCATGCCCACAGTCAGTGCGGAGTAGATAGCGCAGTGGTTCTTGACCTTTCCAGCCTCAAGGCCCCCTCCATAACTTGTCTGAATTTTGCAGAACCTCAATTAAAAACACAGAGTTAAGATCTAAATTTAGAAAACATGTGGAGCTGGAGAGGGGCCCTGAGGCTAAAAGCTGAAAATCAAGTGATCTGGCTGGTGCTGCTTATGGGCAGTGGGGGAAGGACCTCACCCTGCTGTGGCCTGATCTCCACTGTTTGCCCCCTGCCAACTCCTGGTCTGTACTTTGGGGCAAGGGCAGTCCCTGCTGCTGAGGCTGTTCCTGCAGGGTCTCACATGACAGTGACCACCCCACAGGCGCTCCAGCTAGCCCCGGGACTGTGGGAGGAGTGGAGGGGATGAGTGGGACCACAAAGCAGGGTTCTGTCTCTGTGTCCACTCATACTCATGCAGCAGAGGGCACTATTGGGAACATGGCAGGGTACTGGCACATGGGCTGACTGGGGGCAGGAAAAGCAACAGCAGTAGCTGTGGAAGTCCTTAGAGCAGGGATGGGCGAAATGTGGCCTGTGGGCCAGATGTGGCCCGCCAAGCCATTCTATCCGGCCCGTGGGGCCCCTAAAGGATTCAGAAAATTAGTATTTATCTGGCTGCCTGTCATACGGCCCTCAATGGCTTGCCAAAAC